ATAAAAGTCCATGAAACTTAATCGCAAAAAAAAACCCCAAACAAAACACACTTGAAAATGGAAGTGAAACTGTACCACTATTTTATTAGTTCACGCCAAATGCATTCGTAAACTGGTTCGGGGAACCAGGTTATTGTTTTTACCAAATTGTGTACTATGAGTTCAGAGTATCTTGTCATGTAGTTTCGACAAAAAAAAAACATCATTTTGGTTTCAAAAAAAGACATTTCACTTAAATATTAGTAAGCAGCACGTAGAAACATACCCATGCACGCATGATCAGTCTCGCGTTGTATTGGTAAGCAACTTTGTCTATGTGATCGAGGAAATTCGGGACAATGTGACTAGCGACTGTCACTCAGAAAGACTCGGAAAGACAGATAACTGCAATATCAACACTCAAAGATAGTAATGACAAAGCTAATGTACTTTCATAAATAGCCTTGATCCCTCGAAGTCAAAATGCAGTCCAGCTGTGCTGTGAATTTTAATTTACCCTTGATACCTCGAAGTGGCTGTGTGTATACCAAGTTATAATGTTCAAACTTTTGCCATAACTGTATATCTGTGTGTCTGTCTGAGTGTCTGTCGTCAACTTCAACCTTCACCATAACTTTAGAACTATACAAGATAGTGACTTCATATTTAGTATGCATACTCCACTAATGAAGTGCTTTCAAATGGCAACAAGGACAATGATTATGTGATCTTGACTGTGACCTGTATGCTAAAAAAAATTGCATTTTCGAACTTTGTTGCTGTGTTTCACAAGCGCATCTTGTTTTTAGCTCTACTGGTCAGAGACCAGAAGAGCTTATGCAATAGAAATGCGTCCGTCTGTCTGTCTGTCCGTCTGTCTGCAAACACTACTCCTCCTTAAATTTTAGTCTGATTTCAATATAACTTGGCACACAAGTAGACTATACTAAGATACATAATTCTGTGCATCAGTTTTTGATAAGTACAAACCAGTAGAGCTACAGTCTCGACAGAGACTTCTGGTTATTTTTTCTTCCATCTCGGTTGTTGCTAATGCTATTACGTAATTAGTTTAAATCAGAATGCAATAGTACCTGGACATAATTTATCATTTCAGAGAGAAGAAAACTGTGTGACTTAAAAAGAAAACCAGTGAGATAAAATCATAGAAAATGTATGATGATTCAGGATGTGGTCATTTGGTAAGTGGTAATTCATTCATGATTAGTATGTATATGAAAATTGCCTGAAAAAAAAAGATTCTAAATTTTATTTAAATACTGTGGTATATCAGCTGTGAGCTACAAGAAGTTTTATGTAAAAGCTAGGGCTGAAACAATTTGCCCCCTCCATGTTATGTGTGTATTGCTATGATTGACATACAATCAGTTCTCTAATACATACACTTCAAAAAAACTTTGTCGTTTTGGACCTGAATTGAACAGGAAAAAACTCTGAGATCTCTCCAAAAATTTGAATGAAAAAAAAGAAATGCTTATTAACTGATTTCTTGCTGGTCAGTATTTTGATTACTTAAAGGAAGCTCTAAAAACTGCACACTAAAGAGTTCTACTTTAATATCAGGTAGTTTTATGAAGTTAGAGTGATCTGCCCATAGATTAAGATTATGAAAAATGTTATTTTACAGTCAGTTAGATTATCTTTAATAGATTAAATTATTTTTAGCATTATTTAAAATAAAAAAATAGGAAATTAATTACTTTCATAAATTTTTCCAATGTAAGTAAACAGCAATGATTCCTGCTTACAGATAGTCCATTGTCTTTGAAAATTTCTTGGGGAAATGAGGCACATACCATATGTTCTAAATGAATAAAAAAGGCTCATTATGCACATATTTATATGAAATATGATAGATTTTTTTCTCTTCAAGGAATAATTTCTGCAAGTCACTAAGTTTTTAGAGTTTCCTTTATTTTATAGATATTCAATGAAATTATTTGAAGTATTAAATTTTGGTAAATTTTATGATACGAAAAGGTTATATGGATGAAAAAACAGGATGCGTGTATGACAATAGCGCTTAAATTTTTAATGTCTCTTAATTTTTCAATGACATTAAAACAGGAATTGTCATCACCAATAGACGAATTTCACATTCCTAAGAGTTTTCTCCAATTGTCGGCGTATCGCTCATTTTTCCCACTTTGTCCTTTGTAAGTTACTTGTTAATGTTTTCAATCTTCAAAAATATTGGACAATTACGATCTGTATCTGTATTGCCAGAGTATGGGGGCAACATGAAAATCATACTGAATATGTTCATACAGATTTTATTTCTAAGATATTGTCCCTCAAAGTTGATACTGTTAAAGAGGGAAAACAGCGTCTTAAGCCGGTTGACCCCAGATCGACCCTGCGAAAGGGAATAACTTTTGTAAATGTGAAAGTCCTTTATGGTATATCATATAGATCTAAAACTGACTGAATTTTGATCAGCCAATTCATGAACATGATGAATGGATGAAAATAATGTTGGTCAATATATGTAAAAAAAAAAAAAAAAAAAAATTAAATTACGGTACTTGTTTATATATACATTTGTGGTACAGTATCTCTCCCATTGAAGTTTATAAACTTGTTATTTATTTCTTAAATAAACTGAGCATACATGCAATACCGGTATAAAATTACTCATAAGATGCATGTATACTTAAACCATGATAAAATCATATGTGTCCAATGCAGCATATGATAAATCATTAACATACAAGTACATGTGTATATATATACTGTAATACATATATATTGCATTATTTTTAGGTCCTGTTCTGTGGATGCCCTAATTCAGTGTCTACCCATCACTCCATCTGAAATCACTTTTTCTGTGCATATTTCTCTCTCAAACTTAAACTACAGAGAGCCTGTGGATGGAGGATGAGGAGTGACCTTGGACTAATTTTCTAGGTCAAAGGTTAGTATCAAAATCTACTGTATTTCTTTATTTAAAATCGTAGTCCAGAGTATATTTCTCCCCTGGTGTAATCTAGCTTTTGTGCAATTGGATGGAGGGTCTGCAATGATCTTCAACCAATTTCTAGGTCGAATATCAAAATTTAGAAAAAAATCTCTCCCTCATATTTTTGTTATTATAAAGGGTATGTTTTCTCTCAAACTAATCACACTTAAAGCAGGGTTCTTAGTATGAGATACATGTAGTAATATATTCTCAATGACATAATAAGGCTGAAAACATTATTCATATTATGTTATTTTTTTTTCACTTATCATAAAGCATTAAATATTAAAGAGATACATTAAATGCTGAAATCATATGTATCATGGTCATGGAAAGTAATTATTGATATTGGTATATTAAAGGACATTGACTGATCTCTTAGATTTCTAAGTTATATTCAAGATTTATAATTCTGACATCATATAATAATTTTGTATGAATATTGCAGATCATAGGTGATGTGAAGAAAACCATGAAACTGATGTTGAAAGAAGTACTTAATGACCCTTATGAATGGACTTAAATGTGAAAGACTGTTCCATTGTTTATCTAAGACATATGAATTTATTTAATATTTTGATATCATTGAAAAATTCAGTTACGGTTTTTGTACATCAAATGAATTATTAAACATATAAAATGGTAATGCTTTTTTCTTTTACGTGTAATAAATTTTTTTGATAGATTTTAAAAGAAAACCCATTATTTCACATTGCTTCCTTTAGAAAAGTTAGGGAATCTTGAAGTTTCCCAGTAATTTCCACCAGGAATGGGACTCTTAGATAATTCCACCAAGTTTCCGCCACACAGAAAGTGCTACACAAGTTCCACATAGTTTCCTGAGTCAAGGAAACTTCAGGAATCATAAGGTTTCACGAGCTTCCATGTAGTTTCCCATAAAAGAAAACCTTAAGATTCCATCAAGTTTCCATTCCACGGAAACCACTACGCTCATATTCCATATGGTTTCCTGAGTCGAGGAAACTTTAGGAATCGTGAGGTTTCCCGAGCTTCCATGTAGTTTCCCGTATAAGGAAACCTAAAAATTCCATCAAGTTTCCACTCCACGGAAACCACTACGCTCCGATTCCATATGGTTTCCTGAGTCGAGGAAACTTCAGGAATCGTGAGGTTTCCTCAGCTTCCATGTAGTTTCCCGTAAAAGGAAACCTAAAGATTCCACCAAGTTTCCATTCCACGGAAACCCCCTACGCTCCGATTCCATCAAGTTTCCTGATTCTAGAAACCAGTGGAATCTTCAGGTTTCCCATAACGGGAAACTACATGGATGTTCGGGAAACTTCAGGTTTACAGAGGTTTCCGTGGTACGGGATACCTTATGGAATCGGAGCGTAGGGGGTTTCCGTGTCACGGAAACTTGGCGGAATAACCTAGCATCCGCTACGGAAACCACTGGGAAACATGATGTAAACTTGAGGTTTCCATGTGGTTTCCATAAAGTTTCCCATGATGGGAAACCACTTTTTTCACCCAGTGAAATGTATGCCTAATGTCGAGATCAATGTCACAGCAAGCATTTTCTTCTCATGTAGAGTTTTAAAATAGATTTAGGAATGAACCGTTAAGAGTTCCTGTCCCAGTGAATCTAAAGAAGATATCTAGAGATATTATTCTATGCATTCCCATGTTAAATTTTGATACACCACTGTGGCCCTACCCTACCCCGGGGGTCATACTATGTACACATGCGCATCTAGGTGACATGAGGATGATTTCACTTGAGTGTCATCTTTTATGGCCCAGTGGTTCTTGATAAGATGGTTTTTTAAGATGTCATTAATTTTTCATTTATTCAAAATTCTGTCTCCTTGAATAAGTATGGAACCCAGTGGCTCTTTCGAAAAAGAATGAGAAAAGTTGTCAACGACCAAAACAATTTCAGCAACTAGTGACAGCAGACAAATTTTGATCAGAAGGGCTCATGTGAGCCTTCGGATCAGGCTAACTAACAATGGGGGCCGTACTTGCATCGTATTTATCGCCTGCATACTCTAGAAATAAACACTTTGATATAAATTACCTTCACAATTCTCCCCTTCATAACCTTCAACACAGTTACATTGGTAACCACGTGTTCTGGTCTTATCTGCTTCACAAGTTCCATTCTGACAATCATGTTGATTGCATACATCGACTACAAAAAAAAAGTTTTGGAGGGACATTAGAATATTAATACAAAAATTAAGGAAAAACTGAAGACATCTCATTTAAATTTTTTTTGTATTTATAGTCAATAACAGATCAGAGTATGAAATAAATGTTACAGACGAGTACCTTCTTAGATCATTTGGTATAGATTCAGTTGACTTTTAAGTGATAGTAACCATTTTTAATTGATACAAAAACTTTTATACAAGTACATTTACAAGTGTATGCCTAATGTCGAGATCAATGTCACAGCAAGAGTTTTCTTCTCATGTAGACGTTTTTTTAAATAAATTTATGAATAAACCGTTAACAGGTCGCCTAAATGGAGTTTTAAGGATCTTTCCTATTCTAAAATTTTATACCTCATTGTGGCCCCTACCTACCCTCGGGGTCATGATTTGAACAAAATGAGTTATCTTTCCTGTCCCAGTGAATCTTTAGAAGATTTTTAGAGATATTCTTCTATGCATTCCCAGGTTAAATTTTAATACACCAGTGTGGCCCTTCCCTACCCCGGGGGTCAAACTGTGCATACATGTGCATTTAGGTGACATGAGGATGATTCCACTTGAGTGTCATCTTTCCTGGCCCAGTGGTTCTTGAGGAGAAGGTTTTTTAAAATGTCATTAATTCTTCACTTATACAGAATTCTGTCCCCTAGGAAAATGACGTGACCCAGTGGTTCTTTCGAAGAAGATGAAGATCGGAAAAGGTATCAACGACGAAAACAATAACAGCAACGAGTTACAACAGACATATTTTGATCAGAAGGGCTCAAGTGAGACTTCGGTTCAGGTGTACTAACAATCGGGGTCGTACTTGCATCGTATGTATCGACTGCATCCTCAAGAAATAATCACTTTTATATAAATTACCTTCACAATTCTCCCCTTCATAACCTTCCATACAGTTACATTTGTAACCACGTACACTGTTCTTATCTGATTCACAAGTTCCGTTTTTACAATCATGTTGATTGCATACATGGTCTACAAAAAAGTTTGAGCGGGACATTAGAATATTAATACACCAAAAATTAAGGAAAATATGAAGACATATCATTTGTAATACACTAATATTAAATGTATTTATAGTCAGTGAAAAATCTGAATAATAAATGTTACCTACTTGAACTTTCATTGACATACCGAGTTGACTTTAAAGTGACTATTTTTCATTGATACAAATATTTTTAAGTACAAAAGTATAGATACAAATATATGCTCATTGTCCAGATTATTGTCACAGCAAGAGTTTTCTTCTTATTTAGAAGTTTTTGAAATAAATGTAGGAATGTGCCGGTAAGAGGTCGGCTAAAAATGAAGCAAAATGAAACCGCAAAATCCAACAGGTAATTGGAACATATCCTTAAAGACTCTATAGGGGTTGTACATGTTTTTGTATTAAAAGATTTTTCCTATGTATTCCTATGTCAAACTTTGATAACCCACTTTGGCCCCACATTTCCCACTTGAGGTCATGATTTGAACGAATTTGAATCTTCGCTACCAAAGGATGCTTCTAAACAGCTTTTATTTTTACTGGCCAAGTGAATCTTGAGAAGATTTATCAAGATTTTTCCTATGTATTCATATCTTTAACTTTGAAATCCCACTGTTCCCCTATCTACCCAGGGGTCATGATTAGAAGAAACTTAAATCTCGTTACCAAAGGATGCTAATCAGGGTTAGGGTTGGAGTGGGGACAAAGAGGTGTATCGAAATTTGAAATAGGAAAACATAGGAATAATCTTTTAAAATATTCTCAAGATTCGCTGCGTCAGAAAGGATGAAACTCATGCAGAAACATCCTCTAAAAAGATATATTTGATTTTGTTCAAGACACGCCCCTCGGGGATAGGGCAGGGCCACGATAGTGTATAAAAGTTTAACATAGGATTGCATGGGAAAGATCTTTAAAAAAAATTTCTCAAGAGCCGCTGGGCCAGGAAAGATGAAACTTTTTATAGAAGCATTGCCTGGTAACAAACATTTAAGGTTTTTCTGATCATGACCCCAGGGATATGGTGGGGCCACAGTTTAACATATGAATACACAGGGAAAATCGATAAATCCTTCTCAAGATTCACTAGACCAATAAAGATGAAACTTGTGTAGAAGAATCCTTAAGAAACTAAGAAATTTACAACAGATAACTTTGCAAGACGCAAGAACAACTGCCCCGATCACTGGGGCATGTGGGGGATCTCTGCAGTATATATAATAATAAAAAAATAATGTAAATTACCTTGACAATTCTCCCCTTTGTAACCTTCCATACAGTTACATTTGTAACCACGTGTTCTGGTGTTACATGTATCTGGCTCACACGTCCCTTTCTGACAAACATGTTGATCGCATACATGAACTAGAAAAGCAAAACTTTGAATTTAAATTATTCACTGTTGTTTATCTCTTGTAAGACCTTATGAACATTATGACCTTACGAACATTGAATACATGAAATAAATGGATTTTATGATCTCAGTCGATTTTTGTAGCTTATACTTTTAGATAAATTACCTTCACAATTTTCCCCTTTGTAACCTTCCATACAGTTACATTTGTAACCACGTAAACTGTTCTTATCTGCTTCACAAGTTCCATTCTGACAATCATGATGATCGCATACATGGACTAGAAAAATAAAAATATTGGGGGACATGAAATGGTGGGAGAGAGAAATAACCTGGGAGAGAAAAATCTTTAGAGAGAAATGACTTGACATCTTTTCTTCTCATGTAGAGTTTTTTTTTTCAATAAATTTAGGAATAAACCTTTAACATGTCGCCTAAAAAGATTTTTACAGATCTTTCCTATGATTAGCTTTTTTTTCCCATTGTGGCCCCACCCTACCCTTGAGGTCATGATTTGAACAAAATGTTTTTTTTCTTGGGAACATGTTTGTTTTTAGAAGATTTTTTTTTATTTTTTAGAAGATTTTTAGAAATATTGTCTATATGAACCTTCGGTTTAGGTTAGCTAACAATGGGGTTCGTAATTGCATTGGATGTATCGACTGCATACTCTGCGGCTCAAGAACAACTGCACTTATTGCTGCGGCATGAGGGAGACTTCTGCTGTATATAAAATAATAATCACTTTTATATTAATTACCTTGACAATTCTCCCCTTCATAACCTTCCATACAGTTACATTGGTAACCACGTGTTCTGGTCTTATCTGCTTCACAAGTTCCATTCTGACAATAATGTTGATTGCATACATCGACTACAAAAAAAAGTTTTGGAGGGACATTAGAATATTAATACACCAAAAATTAAGGAAAAGCTTAAGACATCTCATTTGTAATGCACTAATATAATATGTATTTATAGTCAGTAACAAATCAGAGTATAAAATAAATGTTACAGACTAGTACTTTCTGAGTTCATTGGGTAAATATTGACTTTAAAATGATAGTAACTTTTTTCATTGATACAATTTTTTAAGTACAAAAGTATAGATACAAATATATGCCTTATGTCGGGATTATTGTCAGTGCAAGAGTTTTCTACTAATTTAGAAGTTTTTAAAATAAATTTAGAAATGTACCGGTAACATGTCGGCTAAAAAGGAACAAAGTAAAGTCGCAAAATTCCAAACAGATAATTAAAAAACATTCTTAACGACTACTTAAGAGTTTTAATGTACTTGTATTAAAAGTTTTTTCCTATGTATTCCTATGTCAAAATTTGATAACCCATTGTGACCCCACCCTTCCCCCTAGGGGTCATGATTTGAACGATTTGGAGTCTTTGCAATCAAAGGATTCTTCTTTAAAGCTTTTATTTTTACTGTCCAAGTGAATCTTGAGAAGAAGATTTATCAAGATTTGTTCTATGTATTCATGTTGTTAACTATAATATCCCACTGTTGCCCCTACCCACTCCGATGTCATGATTAGAAGAAACCTAAATCTTAAATGGGGTATCAAAATTTTACATTTAAATACACAGCAAAAACCTTGATAAATCCTTCTCAAGATTCACTAGACCAGTAAAGACGAAACTTGTATAGAACTTGTATAGAAGGATCCTTAAGAGCTTAAGAAATTTAGAACCCTTGCGACGCAAGAACATCTGCCCTGACCACTATGGCATATAGGTGGCCTCTGCAGTATATATAATTATAAAAAAAATATATAAATTACCTTCACAATTCTTCCCTTTGTAACCTTCCAAACAGTTACATTTATAACGACGTGCACTGGTCGTATCTGCCTCACACACTCCCTTCTGACATTCATGTTGATGACATACATGGACTAGAAAAACAAAACTTTGAATTTGATTGATTCATTGTTATATATCTCTCGTAAGACCTTATGAACATTATAACCTTATGAACATTGAATACATGAAATAAATAGATTTAATTATCTTAGTGGATTTTTGTAGCTTATACTTTTAGATAAATTACCTTCACAATTCTTCCCTTTGTAACCTTCCAAACAGTTACATTTGTAATCACGTGCACTGGTCGTATCTGCCTCACAAGTTCCATTCTGACAATCATGTTGATCGCATACATGGACTAGAAAAATAAAAATGTGGGTGAACATTAGAAAATTAATACCCAAATTAGAACAGCCAAAGACATCTTGTTTGTAATACAGTAATATCATATGTATTTATAATCAGCAAACAATCTGAGTATGAAATATTGAGTTGACTTTTAAATGTAAGTAACTTTTTTATTTATAAAAAGGTTTTAATACAAATACATTTACAAATACATGCCTAATATCGAGATCAATGTCACAGCAAGATTTTTTTTTCTCATGTAGATTTTCTTTTTTTTTTATAAATTAAGGAATAAACCGTTACATGTAACAACAGATCGCCTAAAATTTTTAAAGATCTTTGTTATGTTAAACTTTCATACCCCTATTGTGACCCCGCCCTACCCTTGGGGTCATGATTTGAACAAAATAAAATGTTCTTTTTTTCCTTGAGAGACAAATTTTGATCAGAAAAGCTCAAGTAAGTTAACAATAATCAACCTCCATTTCCCGCAGTGAGGTTCGAACTTGCAACGTTAGTATCGACTGCAAACTCTGTGACTCGAGAACAACTGCACTTTTGACTGCGGCATGAGGGCGACGTCTGCTGTTTATAGAATAATAAACACTTTGAAGTACCTTCACAAATCTCCCCTTCATAACTTTCAACACAGTTACATTTGTAACCACGTGCACTGGTCGTATCTGCCTCACAAGTTCCATTCTGACAATTATGATGATCGCATACATGGACTAGAAAAACAAAGAATTAGGAGGGCATAAGAATATCGATACACAAATTAAGAAAAGCTGATGACATCTCATTTGTTAGGACGTAATATTATGTATATTTATAGTCAATAAAAAAATTTTGTATGAAATAAATGTAACAGACTTTTATCAACACAAGAGCAACAGTCTTGACTACTGGGGAAAGCAGGCGACCTCTGCATTATATATAATAATAACATTTTTTATATAAATTACCGTCACAATTCTTCCCTTTGTAACCTTCCAAACAGTTACATTTATAACGACGTGCACTGGTCGTATCTGCCTCACACACTCCCTTCTGACATTCATGTTGATGACATACATGGACTAGAAAAACAAAACTTTTGAATTGAAAAAAAACTCATTGTTATATACTGTAAACATTCGCAACCAACTTTCAGAAGCAATAATTGAAAGTAACGAACTATTTTGTAACTTTCTTTTTGTCGTGACAATTAATAGTTGGAAATTGATTTCAAAATGATGAATCGCAATTAAAATATGAGTTAAAAAAATAGCTGGTTTACAGTATCTCTCGAAAGACCATTGAGTCAAATGCCGACTGACGTTTTAAATACCAATTGTTAGTCCATTATTTATACACTGAATTGACGATGTTTTTCATACCAATTGTTAGTCCATTATTTATACACCGAATTGACGACGGATTTTCCCTTTATTTCCTGATCATGACAAGGAGCACAAGGCGGGTGTGACCCGTCGACAGGGGATGTTCACTCCTCCATGGCACCTGATCCCACCTCTAATGTTTTGGGGTCCGTGTTTGCTCTGCTCTTATTTAGTATTGTTTTATGAACTTTGAGATTGAATACTATTCGTTATCTCCATATCCTTACATTTTGATTCACAAACATTGAATATACCATAGAATGTACCTCAGTAGGTTTTTGGATTTGAGTCGAGGTTTAAAATCAACTTTTTTCGATATTTTCAGTTTCGACATGATAATATTTTAACTAATTTTTTTTATGTACAAAAATGATACGAAACAGGAAAAGATGCTCTCACCGTAATATTTTAAAAACATAAGGTGACTCACACTGACATACATTCCCATAAAACCTCTCTGGACAGGAACATGAGAACAACTGAGGTCCCCTTTGTGTATTTGATTTTAATCTCCAACTTTTGCGTGTACCACCATTTTTACATCGGTTATATTTCCAGTTCCAGCGAGTTTCTAAAACAATAAACAGGGTGTTTCGCAGTAAATGTTACACACCTAAACTCTTAAATAATGCAACACGGGTAAAAATTAATATTTTTATGTGCTCTTTAATACTGTAACTGATGAACAATTTGGTTCATATGAACCTGAAGCATGTTTTCAGGTCTGTTCTGCAGCATGTTAAATAAAAGAGAGCGAGAAAGAGAGAGAGAGAGAGAGAGAGAGAGAGAGAGAGAGAGAGAGAGAGAGAGAGAGAGAGAGAGAGAGAGAGAGAGAGAGAGAGAGAGAGAGAGAGAGAGAGAGAGAGAGAGAGAGAGAGTAGAGCATTTATTAGAAATGCCAGATCAGATTACAGATATTACAATTTCAGAATGCACCAGAATATTTGGTCCAAAAGATATCCAACACCTTATGCCAAAAAACATGTACATGTATTTCCTATTGTGAGAATTGATGGTTGAAGGTGGGTAAAATTTTTTAACCCCATTTTCGGAGCCAACATTTATTTTGATAAGGATAAGGCTAATAGCTGTAACTAGAGGGTGCTTAAATATAAACCCCGGAAAATACCTTCGGGACCCATGATTTCACACAAAATTGTGATTACTAAAAAATGCAATTTTGTAGAATTGAGGTCCGTTGTCCATCAATAGTTCTGTCGGAATGCTATGACGAGCAAACACAGATTTAAACGCAGTGACTGCTTGTGAACTTGATGTTGATGGTATTGGGACTATCTGGAAGTTCAAAATAGCAATCGAAACACAAAAGATGTTCTAAATCTTTGAACTAAAATATATATGTTGGGACTTTGTCCAAGGAACGTGAAGGAATCTCCCGAGGAATCAATGGTTCCTTGCAGTAAAAATTCCTTTACTTCTTACACACTGCACACTGCACATTGCCCAATAAATTTTTCAATATCCCGGTTCATTTTCGGTCAAATAGTATTTCTTGGGTCTGTGTTTTAACTACGACCATTCGGGCTTCATGTGGCTTATTGAGAATCTCGATTTTCAAGCTGATCTGTATCATAAGTCGTTGGATTTGTAAAAACACAGCACAGTTAAGGTTTCAATATGGGGGCGGGGCCTAATTTGCGAAGAACGCAGCACGGTTAAAGTAACAATAAGGAGGCGGGGCCTAATGTGTAGCCATGTAAAGTTATAACTAACAGGATCATGAGGATGGCTACAATAATTTATCTAAATAAAGTTCAGGCCGCTTACACGTACAACATACAAAAATTTACATTGCTTATATCATTGACAATACACTCAAATTAATGTGAGAAGATTTAATTCAGAATTATTTTTTAAGGTTAAAAATTCTCAACACTCTTCAATTTCAGTTAGTATGGCAACAATAAGCTTAGAGAATATGCTATATATTTATTTATATTTTTCCCCAATAATTTTTTAGATCTCTGTATGTACAAACATTTCTGTTGATCACTGTTTTGAAAGGTTCGCTGTATATGGTTCCACATTTTGATTTCATATTAGGCTTTTTTAAACCCTAAAATATCATGCCCTTTTAATTAACAAATACATTCAAATGAAATTGAGTCTCATTAATGAGCCATAAGCTGTCAACCCCTTCCTAGCCTTTAAATCCATTTTCCGAATTCTAAATAAACAGGAGACTTCAATGAGGCTTCAATGAAAACCGTGAGGAACATTTCAATCTTGGGAGGACATGACAGCAGTGGTGATTGACCATAACCCAAGATGGACAGACGCTTAGAGAAAAAGCAAGGAAAAGTTCTGGATAGATAGATAGAATGAAGTCATTTAGCCCTAATGGTATAAGCAAACTGAATGACCTCACCAGAATGAACATGACATAGATTTTTTTATTGTTACTATGCAGAATTTGCTTTTAGACATGACTCTTTATTGAGGGAACTTTGAGTATAAGTTTGATTTCCACTTGAAAAAAATGTCTTAGTTCTTCTAAAATACAATTTATAAATGCCATTATGAGCCTTACAAACAAGGACAATGCTGTCACCTTCTTTGTCAGCAGGGACAACGTACTGATGTTATCTATCTATTTCTTTCACTTCTGTATTTTTGAATAGCTAGGGAAAGAGGGTTTTCATATCGCATACGGCACCTCAATCTTTTAATACATTTTATATTTTTTTTAATGGATCCGATACATTTAATCCATTCTGAAAGGTGTCAACATCTTCATTATCATATCTGGTTCATAGACTGGCGTAATTTTCAACAAAATCCATTACATTTATGAAATTCGGACGCCAGTGGAAAAATTGGGGTTCTTTTTATTTAGGACCTTTTTAAATAAGTGGTATGAGGTCCACATTATTAACTTTATTTACATCACCAGCAGGACTATAGCTATAGGGCACGATGGAGAATTATCTTTCACATACTCGGTATATGGCCTCTGATAACAGATATACCTTTCTGAAGACATTTTCGCATGAAATTTAATGAATTTTCATGTTAGATTTCACAGAAGTAATTTATGAGGACTATTTTAAAGTCAACTCAATAACTTGTGTAATATAGAACAGATGTTAATTTTTTAAGTTTCTAATGCCAACTTTTCATCATTTATCATAGATTACCTAAAACATTATACTCCGTTCCTTTAAACGGTGTAAATAATATCTCTAGACGTACATGTGTATAAATCATTGAAATGTAACAAAATGTTTGGTGCAAAATTGTTTATAAACGATGAAATGATATAAAATGTTTTTAAGGGCGATAATGGAAAAAAAAACCTTTGATGAAAAATATGTATGTCCTACTTATTATCCATTGGCATAAGAGAAGATGAAATACTTGCTAACTAACAAGTTATTTGTATTTCCAAAGGATAAAGAGAAACCAGCGGTACTGTGAGGACTTAGTTCACTTTAATGATACCACACGCCTCCTATATGATTATAATGACAAAGACCGGAAAAAAAGTATCAGATAAAAAAAAATATATAAAAGTGCACGATTACATTATGTACTAAAGAATCTGAAAGTACCCCTTAATCTCACTGAATGGTATAGGAGAAATTGCAGATATGAGTCCTAGATAAAGATAACGATAAAAGATATGAGATAAAGTCATCATTATTAACTTTATTTACGTTACCTATACTAACGTGTCCCGTGGGACTAAAGTTATAGTATGAATAATAACATGAACGCAATGGAGGATTAGGTTTTCAGATATTTGATATCAAGACAATGTAAGGTTTTACAGTAATTAAAAAGTTTTGAAGCAGTTTCCAATTTATATTGTAGGGACTACAAACTGTAGTCTATCACTTGCAATATACATGACTGGACCCTTATGTGAAAAAGAATATTACTTATATTAACCCTCTCAATTCCTTTATTTGCATATTAAAGTTTAAGGAAAAGATGGATTGTTACAGCATTCCGAAGCGTATCTTGCCCTTATTTAAAGAACATACATCTTTTCTAATAAATAATTTTTGTACAAGTATTTGTTATCAAGCGATATTTTCTATCTCTTGATAAATGATGTATTTTTAAACTGTAAAAATATTAACTTTAAAACCACAAAGTCATAATTTTTACTTTTGTAAAAATAATTTTTTAGACATGTTTACCTTTGGCAAAACGTTAAGGATAGCTTAAAATGATGAAATTTGTCAAGAATTTTCGATGCAATTGATAATTAATTCTGTTTATCCTTTATAACCATTGCCTTCTACATGTTCTATGTTTATTATAAATGTCTCCTCCGAAGGATTCCAAGGTTTCCATGTCTCGCATTGGGAATCAAACCAGGATCAAGCACTCTAACCACTACAACTATGCAAGACGGGTAACTTAATGATGAATAAATTAAAAGCAGTTTGAAATTAACATCATATTTGAATTTCCAGGCGATTTTTAAATAGTTACGTTACAATTACATGTAACCAATCTCTTTCTAAGAGGATGGTCGCCCACGTGGCGCAGTGGTTAGAGTGTCTGCTCTAGAGTCGCGAAGTAAGGAGTCAATCCTTACGTCGCGGGTTCGAATCCCACTGTGGGACGTGAAGACCGTATTAACCGAGGCCCCTTGTGGCAATAAGGTGCTTGCACGAAAAAGATCCCTCACTGCTCAAAGGCCCTGAGTGCCGAGCAACAACATTTGTTGCCCTCCATCGGCAAGGTTGACATCTCGATATGAATGAAAAATTCTCGAGAGGGACGTTAAACAACATATAATCAATCAATCAATCAATCTAAGAGTATGTGTGTGACTTACGTAGCCTGCTTGATCTCTCTGTCATGGACTCAGCTTGTATGCGTGCAACATATCCAACGAACAACACAAAAATGATCTAAAAATAAGTACAATATTAAAATAAATATCAACAGTTTGCATTTACCTGAAGAAAACTTAAAAATAACCACTGTTTCTTTTTAGCACCTCAATGGTATGTCTGGACGAGTCTAGGTTGTGTTATTTACGTATCAATAAAATGTACCGTATTCTAACAAAAATATTTTTGTTCAATTGAATTTTTGATTTGTACCAAAATATTTGCCGAAGAAATTTACATATCTTGAGCTCGACAGTAGTTTGCTGACCACTACTTGCGAAAGGCATTCTCTGCCATATTTCTATCTAAATACTGCTATCCTGAGACCCTAATGTTAACTACAGACCTTCAAACAGTTCAAAGTAGTTTGCTATAGAGGTTTCACCTGTATGAACGAACATCTTACATAGCCACACCTATAATTTTAAACCTGCGTGAACAAAGTTATGTTGTAGCAGACTTAATTCTGTTTTCAGGAATGTTAAATTGTATATGTCCTCGATCGGGAAAATTACCACCTTTAGAGAAATAGTGTAAAGAAGAAGGTACAGTTTCAATACAAATTAAGCCC